AGTATATCCATCTTGATTATATTGGTATGCAACAAAAATCATGTTCGTAAAATTCACAATACGTATAGAATCTCTGCTGGAATAGGTGTTGGTTTGAGGAGTCCTTCGTTCAAATTCTTGAGAGCAAGTTGAACAAATTCGTGTAATTTTTCCACTGTCTTTTCTAGTGATAGGCCATATTCATTCATGTAGTATTCAATTCCAGTTGACAATTGTCCTCTATCTTTCTTAGTCTGTTGAAATATACAAAATGAGTAGCAGCAATTAATTAGTTGAATTGATATTAACATGCATTTAAAGGAATTTAATTTGTTTGATCTTCCAATCTATGGTAATGGTAAAAATGATAGGGCAACATACATACATATATATATATACACATATATATATATATATATATATATATATATATATATATATATATATATAATAGAAGTTTAGGGGAATATGTTTAGAATAGTAGGGATATACCTATTCATGTATAAATGTGATCCACCCTGCAACATGGATCAAAGTCTAGAAGGATAGTTTTAAAATAGTTTGGGAGGGGGGGGGGGGGGGGGGGGGGTCCAGATGGATTTCTTCTAAAAAATAGTTTTGGAGTGACCACTTGGTTTTAGGTTTCACAGATTTCTCCCGGTTTCTCTTTGATTGTCTTTTGGGTCAAAACTTGGTACATATATGTATAACTATGTAATATAACTATGTGTGGTAAGGGTTCTTTGCTTTCTAATCCCCAGAGTTAGGGATCCTAATCAGAGTCTTAATAGTAAAGACCTACTTTCTATTCCTAACAGGTATATAGGTCTAGGATTCTAATTAGAATCTGAGTAGTAAAGGCCCACTTTCTTTATTCCTAATAGACTTAAAGTCCTTATTATAAATAAGGGTCCATGGTCCTTCGTGGACCACATTAATTAATTAAGGGATCCTGGCCAAATTAAATCCTTTTTAACTATTCTTTTAACGGAATTAATTAAATAATTAATCTGGGATTAAAGGGAGTAACACCGGGTGTTACAAGTCAGACCAGAGAAGCCATATTTTCGATGCTGAGGACGCAAAGCCACTATCAAGGTTGAGCTCATGGACAAAATTATTCAACCGATCTTGAGTGATCATTGGTTCAAGAACTGAAACAAATTGAACATGCTCACGCCGAACAAGTCTTTCGAGCCTGCGTCGTGAGGAAAGCAGGCCCCTGACGTTTTAGCTTAACAAATTCATTTCAATTGGTGGGAGAAGGAAACTCGAGCGATCTTGCCAGCGGCCAGGCAAGTCGTGACGGAGGGAACATTAGCCAAATAGTATTTTCGAGCTGCATTTTCTTCTTGGTAATAGTAATGAAGTCGTCTAGCAGACAACCACCTAATTTAGAGGCAAACCGTCTGCTGGCTTCCTTCCAGGATTCGATGAGGGATTGGCTGAGAGTTTGAGTTTCTTGGACTTCATCTCCTTCTGATAAATGGCCTGGCTAGGAATCCGAGGGGGAAGAGTGGCGGAGGCATTGATCGTCTATGATAGTATTCCCCAGCGAGGCATTGGCATCTGGTGGCGTGGAGCTGTCAGCATCCTGCACACGATCATTTGGATGGATATCTGTGGTGCTTGCGGATTGCAAAATAGGCTCAAGTGCTGAATTCGCCGGAATTGTTCTAGGATCAACATTCTGATCAGCGGTCTCGTGTGCTGTCGGGCGCCATCTCTTTCTCGGTGGAACAAGCTGAGGCTGACGGTTAGGCACAGTTTCAATATGGGGATCTTTGCGAGTATCATGATTCTGCCCTGCCGGCTGTAAGCGACAATCTGGAGTTAAATGGCCAAACTTCTGGCATCCCAAACAATACGGGGGGATATGGTCATACGTAACTTTCTGCACAAAACCACCGTAGGAACCGTTGTTGATCCATATCTGATCATTTAGGGGGGCACTGACATTCAACTCCACACATACCCGAGCCATGGAAGGCCGATTGTGCACCAGTGTGGAGGCATCGACCTTCAAGGGAGGACCAATCAAATTGGCGATCGAGTAGATGACACGATTATCCTGGCGGTAAGCTGGCAAACCTTCGAAGGCTATCCAAACCAGGACGACAGGAGACTCAATCTCAGGTCGGAAATCAGGAGACCATTTGAAGACATGCATGAGGGCACCTTTAATCCACCAGGTTCTTCGGATCTAGCAGCGCTGAAAGTCATTCTCATGATCGAAGTTGATCAGAATATGACGTTGGTCGATCAGTCCGAGAGAAAATGCTCCACCGAATCCGATGTGATCGAAAGTTTTGCGTAGGTCCACCATCGGCAGACGGCTTTTCGTGAACTTTCCGATCAGGGCAAAGCGGAACTTGAAGGAGAATTGGTGAACATCATCATCGGAGAAGGAAACCGCTAGACGGCTTAGGGTTTCACCGAAGCGTGAATTACCACATCGGGAGCAGCATAAATCCGACCCAATATCTCCTACCGTCTACGGAACCAATCTCGTGGTTCTATCTCTGTGGAATCAGGTATCGAACTATTAGTGTGCACACCCCCTAACCAGGATTCCAAGCCTGGCGGGAAGTTTCCAACCTCGTAACGTGGGAATACGCCGCGTTACATATACTGGGACCGCAATGTCCATAAATATCTCCTGAGAGGACATAGTCCAAATGGTATCCTCCAAAACCTCACCGATAAAGATAATACATAAATATATCTCGCATGCATCAAATCTCATGCATGCAACAACTCTACTACTTCTCAATGCATCAAATAATGATGTACCACATGCTTATGGATTTTTGAAAATAATACTTGGGCTCACGTTGACCCCTTATGAATTTTTGAAATATGACATATGTGAGATGCCAAAATGCTCTATAGCATGCTTCCAAACCATGTATAAAATATCATGAAGTACTCAAGAATATAACATCATGCTCAGTTTGCAACATAGCAAATTCTATACATTTCACTCAATAAATATGCTTCATTTCTCATTGATCAAATATCACAATCTAGTCATGCTTTCATAATATATCATATTCTTAAATGATCATGCTTCTTTACTCAAATAAAACATCATATTACAAAGCAAAGCATTTTTCATGTACAGAGAACTAAGCAAATATGCACTGTGTGGCAATTCTTCAACAAATCCTTCACATCTTACTCATTTTTTTTTTATCCAAATTCAATAAAATCAAAGCCAAAACGTGCATCGAGACGATCCCGAAGAGCCGAGCCACAAGGGCCCGTAACACTCGACCCGAAACGACACGTAGCTGAGCCACAAGGGCCCGACCACTGCACAAATTCTCCTCAGAATCAAACTCAGGGACTTGGGGCGGGACTCCTCAAGAGCCGCCCCATGAGTCCCGTTACACCATCGGGTCTAGGCGACGGCCCTCCTCTAGGGCCGTACCCTAGACCCGTGTAACCACGGCTCTAGCCGGCGGCCCTCCTGATAGGCCGTGACTAGGGCCGCTGGTCTGATCTGGTGCATTCTGTGTGTGCACCAGATGGTATTTTCATCTGCAAATCTCAATCCAAACAAGTCCAAAACATTCTCAACAACTCATAAACAAATACTAGATCACTTCTAAGCATAAACACAACAAAATCTCATAGTTTCTATTCATTTCTACTCAATAACAAGGCTTCACAGAGCCAAATTTCAAGAAGGAATCCATGGGGTTATACCTCTTGTAGTCTATTCTTCTAGCTTGGATCTCTTCTTCCTCTCACCCTAGCTAGTGCCTCCTTTACCACCTATACTTCCCAAACAATTCATACAATCTTAGCCTAGAATCTCATAGAATGGATGAAACTAGAAGAGAAAATGAAGCTAGGATTGAAAGAAGAAGATGATGAACTCACTGTGTGTTGTTTCTCCCTTCTACTTGGCAGCCAAAAAGTTTGGAGAGGCAAAGAAAGAGATCAGGAAACCAACAATGGAATAGTAGAGTTTATATAGGGTCCAAAACCCTAGGTAGAAGGCAAATGATTGGATGAGGGCAAAATGGTAAAAGCTTAGCTAAAGGGTGTTCTCATGCAAAAACCTTCTTGGAGTAGTGTGGTTCACCTTGTATCATGGACCAAGGCTAAAAATGCTAACTTTAAATACTTTGGGGTTGAAAATGAATTTTCTCAAAAAGCTAATTAGATGAACCCTTGTTTAAAATCTTTTTGAATTCTCCTGGTCTCACTCAGATAAATTCCTCGATTTAAATCTTGGTACGCGAAATACCCGAAAACATAGGAATTTTGAATAAAAATAAATTTTGGTGTCGAATTAATTTAAAATGTGACAAAAATAATTTATTCAAACACCAATTGATCGCAAAAATTTTTAATGGAGTGAAAATGACTATTTTGAAATTTCTTAATATCGGATTTATAAAATAAAATTTTGGGTTGTTACAGATAAGTCCGAGAGAAAATGCTCCACCGAATCTGATTTGATCGAAAGTTTTGCGTAGGTCCACCATCAATAGACGGCTTTTCGCGAACTTGCCGATCAGGGCAAAGCAAAACTTCAAGGAGAATTGGCGAACATCATCATCAGAGAAGGAAACCGCGGGCATACCCTTGTATCTTCTCGGCGGTAGAAGAGGCGAGGCATCGAAAGAGTTGGCGAGGATATCTGCAAATGTGCGGGGAAGGGGCACGGCGGCCCCCGGTGGCGCCGCCATCAAAACGCAAAGGATTGCAAGAGGTTGCACTAATTGCAGAGAGTTTTCTAACTAATTCATATTCGTATGTTGTCACTTTAATGGGTGTTTAGTTAAAAATTATGATCTTTTAATAGTTTAATTCCGGTTTTAAAATGTGGGTGTTAGGCTATGCCTTCTCACACAATCTTTCACCCTAAAAACTTCGGCATGTATATATATATATACAAAATAGAGAGTGAAACCACCTTACACACTTATTCAAAAAAAATAAAGTTACATGCAATAATTCTTTAAATTTTAAAAAAAAAAACTAAAATAAATAAAACGCACGTACTCTTAAAATAAAGGATATTGGGAAATTTATTAATCACCAAATTTAAGAAACAATTACAACAAAGACGAGAACAGGTTTTCAAAAAGTACGCAATGATATGACCAAGAACATAATACTTGCCCTAGCTTGCATATAACTCAAGAAGAGTTGTTATTATAGGACACTTTATTATTACAAACACAATGCTATTAATACTTCACTAGAGTGGCACCGGATCCACGAATAGGGCAATAATGTGAGGCTTCAAAACCTTTTCAGGACAAGTATATCCATCTTGATTATGTTGGTATGCGACAAAAATAATGCAAGTAAGATTGAAAATGCGTAAGAGAATCTCACTAGATACAGGTGTTGGTTTAAGAAGTCCCTCATTCAAATCCTTCAATGCAAGTCCGGTCAATTCTTGAAACTTTTCCATAGCCTTTTCTAGTGATGCACCACATTCGTTCATGTAACATTCAATGCCCGTTGTAAGTTGCCCTCTATCTTTTTCTCCCTATTAAAATATATAGAATGAGTAGCATGCAATAATGAAATGAGTTAGTTGATAAATGGGACAGAGTGATGAACATATAAGTGTATTAAAATAAAATATGCATGCATATTGAATATTCCATTATATTACATCAAAGGTGGCCATATCATCGATGAGTCTGCATATAGTGACGCCTGCTTCAAGAATTTTAGGATTTTTCATTAACCAATCGAATACTTTCTCATCAGCTGACTTCAACCCATAGCAAGATATTGTGGCCAACAAATAGTAAGTGGAAGTAACGAATGCGTTTCTTAAGTATTCAGCAAATGCAGGCCTGTTTCCTTCATTAGTAAACCATTTGGCTTCAATAAAGTAGCATCTCACAAGTTCCTTCATCTATTAGCAAACAGATAGATTAGATCAGAGTAACCAATGCAAATTAAAACACACATTAGCCCGTGGCTAGCTTCCAAATCATCATAATTATATTAATATTATTATAATAAATTATACTATACGTACTCGTTCCCTTGCATATTGAACGACATATGATCTTCCTTCCTTTGAAAGCTCCTTGTCATCCTTGTCAAAAAGGTCTAACAAAGCTTTATAGCTAATTTTCATATAATTTGGCAGTCGGTTGATTTCATTAATGTCCCACCTGATGATAAAGATGTAAATTGAGATAAAATTAAAATGAAGTTTTAGCGCGCACACATATATGTGTGTGTGGTGCTTTTGATCTGCATGCATTACTTGTGAATTATATTAATTGTAGCTTTTCATTAATTACCAAAAAAACCTAATATATATAATATATAACCTTTGTATGACATCTGTGTAGACCTCTAATTCTTCTATAGTACCATAAGCATCATAGGTGTCATCCACAACCGAAACCATTGAAATGCTTTTGGCAAGCATGACTCGAGCCTTAGAATATTGAGGCTCAAAGTATACTCCTAGTGCCCAAAAATAGCATTCAACTGCTCTATCCCTTGCATAAGGAAGTTTTGTCACAAAGTCCAAATCTTTCCACCACCTACACGTACACACTTAATTAGTTCAACAAAGCTATGCACAGTAAACTAAGAAAATATAATTTACAAACGTAACATACCTTGATACTTGACTGAGCTCTTGCTTGTGCAACATCTGCAACAAATTGAAATCCAATTTGGCAAAGTGGAGCAAGTCATAGTTCCTGGACGAGTCGTCTTCCTCTTGGTACACCGAAATGAAAAATCGGGTTTCAATTCTTGGCATGCCGGTGTGCAATGGCTGATCTAGAGCGTGCGTCACCACCTTTTCTAAAGTGCTGTTGGGTTCCAGAAGTGGTGCTGCAGATCGGAGACGAGTCGCCGCAAAAGCGGTCACGCCTTCTAAAACCTCATCGTCACTGCGTGTTCTAACGTACGAAGCTTCGTACAAACTCAGCAGACCCTTCACATCAGAGGTGTCTCGGAACTTCCCATTTCCGTCCAAAAAGTTACTGAATATATCAGTAGAAATGTTGTAACCATGTTTCCTCATCAACCGAAACTGAAGAGCAACGGTTTCCAAGTCATTCAAGTGGACGGGATGGGTATAAATATGTCGGAGTTGATCATCAATCTCTTTCTCAAAGTGATATGCTATTCCAAGACGTTCCAGCAAGTTAATGAATCTTAATTTTTCAGCCACATCATCAATGGTGTGCAGCAGCGTAGCCCTTGTTTGTTCCTTCAAAATCTCAATCTCTTTTGCATATGCTTCAGCAACCTGCATGCGGACATATATGAGATGATGCACATGAATGCATGCACGAATATATATAGATAATGAATTGAAGTATATATGTAGGTACCTGATTGTCAATGGAGAATGCATGAAAGCAATAACGAGCCCATAAAGTAGGAGGGAAGTTGTCGACAGGGCGTGGGAGATGGTTTTCAAAGTTGATTGCCATTGCCAATGCGGGAGACGGAGATGTATATGTATGAAGTCGGTTTATTAGGTAACTTTGCGATATGATCGATGATAAGAAATGAAGGGGCAAGCTAAGGCACCACTACTTATACTACTTTCAATCCTTGTACTCACAATACACGTGATAAATAATGCAGTATCTGTTTGGTATGAACGCTCTCGTTGGAGCATAAAAGAACAACAATACATAGACAAGTCACAACAAAAATAGGTCAATAGGCGGCTCTCGTTGGGAGAGTTAAACTTGTAACCTTTTGTTATAAGTCTATAGTCTAATCAACTTGGTTGAATTGTCCCATAAGAATTAATTTAAAATGAAAAAAAATATGACAAGGCATTAACGCAAAATCTACGTGCAAAAAATAAGGATAAAATGGTTTAATAGCACTAATTTTTCAAGTTAACGGCTCAATTGCATTTTTCTAATTAATTTGAGAGCTTATTTAATTCATAAATATTCTTATATTGCCACGTCAGAAATATATATATATATATATATATATATATATATATATATATAGGTTCTGGTGTGGTTAGGGTGCCTAGGTGCGATTGTGCGGTTTAATTTGGACCTTTCATCTCGCTTAAATCAACGTTCAGGATTATCAAAGTTTTAAAAAAAAAACGAGGTGGTAATTTTGTAATTTTTGCATCTAGGTCAAAATTAAGGTGAGCGGATCTGTGATTAATGTGCGTGAGTTTTGTGCTTAATGTGCTTGTGTTTTGTGCTTAATGTGCGTGAGTTTTGTGCTTAATGTGCGTGGGGTTGTGCTTATCGTGAGTAGTTGTTAAAAGTTAAAGTCTGTGAGTTAATACTTAGGGTGTGTTTGGTTGATGGGTTTTGCCCATAGGAATGTGTATGAAAGTGATTGTTATTGTTTGGTTGATAGGTTTCTAGAACACTACTATGGGTTTCGAATACCTTATGAATTGAAAAACTCATACCCAAATAAAATAAGGGTGTGTTTGGTTCGCACATAGGAATCGGAATCGGAATGGGTATCAAATACTTGGTAATGGTAATGGGTTTTGGTGAAAGTATTTAACATGTTTGGTAGTAGGGTGGAATGGGAATGGTTACTAATAGTAATGCTTGAGAATGAATAAGGGAATGAAACCCTTATTTTATTTAGGTATAGGTTTTTCAATTGATGGGGTATTCGAAACCCATAGTAGTGTTCTACAAACTTATCAGCCAAACAACAACAATCACTTTCATACCTATTCCTATGGGAAAACCCACCAACCAAACACACCCTAAGTGTTTCATTCCCTTATTCATTCTCAAGCACTATTATTAGTAACCATTCTCATTCCACCCTACTACCAAACATGTTAAATACTTTCACCAAAACCCATTACCATTACAAGTATTTGATACCCATTCCGATTCCGATTTCCATGTGCGAACTAAACACACCCTTAAAGTGCGTAGGTTTTGTGCTTAATGTGCGTGATGTTTATGCTTAATGTGCGTGGGTTTTGTACTTAATGTGCGTGAATTTTGTACTTAAAGTTAGTAGTTGTTGAAACTTAAAGTCTGTGAGTTAATATTTAAAGTGCGTGAGTTTTGTGTTTAATGTGCGTGAAGTTGTGCTTAATGTGTGTGAGTTTTGTACTTAATGTGCGTGAGTTTGTGCTTAAGATCTAACACTTAAGGTGCGCCTTAGCTTATACTTCTTTGTTCCAGACACGCGTTTTTTTTTTTCCATTGATTTGAGCCGTTGATCTAAATTTGATCAACTGTTCAGATTTAACCGTACAACCGTTGATATATATATATATATATATATATATATATATATATATATATATATATATATATATATATAATTGGTGTACCAATGGTCCTTTTATTATTTCAATTTTCTTGTTCATGTATCTAACACAACCAATAAGAATATGTGACAAAATTGGCGCAAAATAACAATGAGCAATAAGTAAGTGTGAGATCTTTGTGGTCATTACCACTGACCAAAAAAAAAAAAAAAAAAAAAAAAAAAAACAGGAAGATAAAAGCAACGGCCAGCCGCCAGCATGTTTAAATTTTTTTTTTTTTTTAAAACATAAATAAATAGCTTTCAACACTCTCAATCGCTCCAGCTGGGTGTGGATAGTGATGAGACACAATTGTATCTCATTGTCTTTCTTTTTTTCTTTTTTTTCTTTTTCTTTTATTTTTAAATATATTTTTGTCAAAATGCAATAACTTGCAGGAGTTTCATCCACAAAAAAAAAAAAAAAAAAAAAAAAAAAAAATTAACTCCACATCAATAAAAAATTAATTTAATTTTTTTATTCCGTATCAAAAACCCAATAAAATCTGTGGGTATGGTTGCTATAATGGTTGTTGGCATTTTATTTTATTGGTGATTGTGCCTGGAACGATTAAAAATGATTTGACAGAAATCTAGAATTCCTTTTCCAAGAGATAGATAAGTAGTCAATAAATGACAAATAAGGATTAGTTATTGCGGAGATACCATCTTCAAGCAGGGACGGAGTCAAAAATTGAATTGAGGGAGGAGAAACAGTACAGACGGATTCAGAAATTTTTTTTAGTAAAAGCAAAATATTAAAACAAAAGAGATCATTTAAATATAAATAAATAGCTCCTTTCAAAATAAATAAATAACTTGAAATATAGTTGTAAATATTGTTGGATGAAAAATAAAACACATCGAAACTTTATAAAAATATTCATAACAAAATATGAAACATAATTAATAAAATAATTTGAATAAAAAACACATTATAAATTACACATCTTATTATTAATATAAAAGAATGTTATATATATATATATATATATATATATATATATATATATATATATATATATATATATATTGTGTGTGTGTGTGTAAGAATTGTAAAATCATGTTGATGTCAAAATTGGAACCCTTGACCTCATTATTATTAACAAATATGTGCTCTACCACCTAATCTAACTCACTTTTTGTTAAGATTTTATAATTTTTTATACTAATACTAAAACATGTACTATATATACATACAAAGATTATATATGGGGTGGGGGTGGGGTGAGGGGGCAGCCGCCCCCCTGCCCCCCTTTGGCTCCGTCCTTGTCTTCACGTATATTCCAAGTACGTTATAAGCAGTCACTATTTAATCCTCAGTAAATCTTACTTTGAGTAAAATTACAACATTTTAAATCAATAATACAATTACAATATATATCAACTACAACAAAATAATAACAAACAATCAAGAATGTAAAAAATATTAAAATGCTCCCCAAAAAAGGATGCAGTTCTATTTATCAATAAATAAAATATCATATTAAATGATATATTTACATTTAGACTAGAAATTTAAGTTTATTTGTGTTGATCCCGATAGGGTTAGGGTACACATATAGAGGATGAGTGAATAGACTTGTATAGATTTTAAAACTTTTACGACTCGTTTAAAGCAACTGAAAAGTGACTTCAACGATTCGTTGAGTATGCACAACGAAAATATTTGTTTAACCATTTTTATCTTGTTTGGATGCACGTAGGCTTGATCTTGTAGAACACTTAAGTTGTTTGTGAGATGATATGCAAGCGTATAACAAAATAAAGTACAGAGAGAGAGATTAGAGAGATTTTATAGTGGTTCGGTCAACTTAGCTTACTCCACTCTTCTCTTTGGAACTCCTAAGGATGATTGCACTATCCCTTAGTACAATAAGGACGTTCAGGCTGGCCTTGAACACCAAGCCGACCTTGAACTCCACCAGGTTTTTCGATTATCACTAGTCAACTCTGTCTCTTTCTACTACTATCGAATAGAGATTACAAAGTTTGAAGAAAAATTTATTCTTTCTCTAACTAATTAAAGAGCTTAATTCACTTTGGATGTCTTGATCGATGCGTGAAAGTAGCACAAGTCTCTTTGAAATCTGGATGTGAACTTTTGAGCTTTATCTCTCTTTCTCACTGGTCACGTACTAGATGTGAGCTTGAATGCGTTTGAACACTTAGATAATTCTTAGGAAATGACCAGCACATTCTAACTCTTTGAGAGAAGGTATTTATAGGTGATTTGGAAAAAAATGTACGTTGGAGGAAAACCAATTTCAAACGCATATTACCCAGTGAGTAACGACAAACGGGAGATCCAGATGGTAGGTGAGTTGTCAGATTTTCCAGCCGTTGGTGGCTTATTTTGCGCTGAAGAAATATTTTTGTTCTGCACAAAATGTCTTGGCTTTTAAGAAAAATTCCTTGGGATGTGTTCCTAGGGCACTCTTTGTCTTGGACACATTCACCCAAGATATTAAGGTTTCGAACGGTTGACTCAAAGAATGTCTCGAACCATCTTTTTTCGAATGGTTAACTAGTTTAACGTTTCGAACCTTAAACCTTTACAACCTCTACGATACGAATGTTTGACCTTACCATTCGGTCCGCCTTACACTTCGAAAAGTAGGTCCATCCATCATTCGACCTTTGCAACCTTTAAGTTACGAATGGTTGACCTTACCATTTGCTCCTCTACTCTTTGAATCTTTAGTCTTCAGGTCTTCAAGTACGCCTTCATCACGAACTATTCGAAAGGTAACCATTCGAGTTATTATTCGAACTATTTGTTGAGACTGACTGAAACGTAACATTTCGAGTTATCATTCGAATTGATTTTTCTATTCGAAGTATGACTTCTCGAGCTGAGATAATATTTGAACTATTTGAACTTTGAGCAGAAATAATCGTAAGTCTAGAATATTAAAAAAATATGAATTAAAATTCTTAACTTTTGATATCATTAAAATCTAAATACAAAATGTTTCTAAGAATTTGATTTATTGAAGAATAATTTATTTCTATTTCTCATTCTTTGGTCCCATTTGTCGTTTATGATTTATAACCTTAATTTAAGTTTTTGCGGATGAAGACATGACGTACAAGTTTCTCGTGGCTAAATTGATTTGTGTGGGAATTGAAGTACTCGGGGAGACTTGTTGTTTTGTGTTAAATTAAAGCAAAGTTAATTTTTTGGGATTTTTTAAAGAGTTTCGTCTGCTTCTAGCATCCAAGTGGAATACTAGAAAACAATAAACAACTAAACAAGAAATAGAAAAGGCGTGTGACCATCGCGCTCACTAGGCGGACTCGTCTGATCTAGTCTATGCATACAAGCCTTATTTATTTATTTACTTAAGAATGATCCATTTCAGTCACTCAAGCAGTATATAAAAATAATCCTATAGCTAAATATTTTTAAAATGATAAAGAGATACTTAAAAAAACTACTAGTTAAAAAAAAAATACAATACTTTTAAAGCTCTGTTTGGCAAATTTAGCTGAAAATGAGCTGAAAGCTGAAAAGCTATAAGCTCGGAGCTGAAAAGTGAAGAGTTGTTAAGTTAGCTGTTATGATTGAAAGTGTTTGGTAAAATTAGCTTTTTGATAAGCTGATAAATGTAAAAAGACTAAAAATGACATCTTCATAAAATTTTAATTAGTTTGTTTACATATTAAAATTTAACATTTTGTCTTTAAAAAAAAAAATTAACATTTTGAAATAAAACTATTAGCATAATCATGATCTAGCATCTCATAATGAAGTACCAATATTGTTGCAAATATAATAATAACAATAATAATAATAATAATAATAATAATAATAATAATAATAATAATAATATTTGCGGTGAAAGTTGCGAATAAAGGGGAAGAGAAAAAGGTTTTAATTGGGAAGGGTAAATTATGTCATTTCTTTAAAATCTACATCTACATCTACAATTTTAATAAGAGCGAATATTGTTAGATCCTTAACAGGAACTAAAAAACTGTCGGTACAACAATATGATCTACAAGATCATACTTTATGCTCATCTAATTGTACATTGCCAAATTAAAACCCTAATATACCCTCATTCTTCTTACTAATACCAAACTTACAATGTTAAATTTAACAGCTTCTGTCAATTGAAGTTGGCGGTGGCAAATTTGTAGTTTTAATAAAATTGAATGGCAGTAAGGAGAAGCGCAACAAGCACAGCAAAATCGACAAAAGGAAGGGATCGTCTGAGGAGGAAGGAGATCGTGAGAAGCACAACAAGCACAACAAAATTGAACAAAGCCAAGGCGATCTCAGAGATGGGCTCCATCTCCCGCATCAGTCGCGTCACCTCCTCCGTCACTTTCTCTTTGATCTTCTCCGTTTGGAGCTCCTCAATGCACGATTCGTAGTTGCTCTTCACGGATTTCAGCCATTCCATATAAGCTCCTTTTTGCCTCAGTACCCTTCCTCTTGCTCCGCTCCTCGCTCCTGCAAACGCTCATCCTGTCTACCCTCTGCCGCAGCCGTAGAGCGAGGAAAGGTAATCCACTCTCTCTTCATCTCTTTATCACTGAATTTATCTATGTATATGCTCTTCTGTATCTGTTCATTGTTCTTTCGTATAAGCTACTGCTGATGTTGTTTAGTTCTTCGGATTTTTTTTTTCTTTCGTATAAGCTTGTTGATCTTTGTGTAGGTCGTCTTATACTCCTATACTCATATACTGATTAGTATTCTGCTTATTCGTATTGAATCTGTTTCCTCTATTTGTTCAATGTATTTAATTTCAGTTTCCATTTCGTTTTCAAATCAGCAGTTGATAACTGATTGATCGAATCGCTTTTAAGAGAATTCTTTAGCATATCTGTCCAATTGATAAGATTCAAGCAGACAGAGATCACGCATTTAACTTATTTGAAACTCTCCTCCCATCAATGAATTGGTTCTTATTGCTGTTCGACGAACTGATAACTATTTGTTTGCCTATAATTAGAGGATCAAAAGCATTTGCATCCAAACTAATGCATTTTGTTTTTAAATCTGTGCAATTCCATTTCTTTCAGGATATAAAGCTTGTTGATGGAGAGAAGGTTATTTTATTCATTTCAGCTTTCTTTTACCTTTGTGAATTTTTCTATGTTCTTTTATGCTTTGAAATAAATCTTGAATGCCTGAATGGCTGTATATATAGGATTTTACAATTGTCTGCTTCTGAATTCTGCAATATGGGCACCATAGAATTTTGATAATAAGCCTTGGCCTTGTGAGCCATGTATAAGGATTGTGGATAGGATTACTAACAATAGCTATATATTTGATTTCTGCATATATCTAATGGCTAATCTTTTCATTATTAAAGACCAAAAAAAAAAAAAAAAAGGTCTCATTTTTGTTCTCATTTTGACCGATTTTTAATATTAAGCTTATTGTTTTCTTTGTACTTACTCTTTTTGAACATACAGGTGATTTTGGTAGGGCATGATTTTGGTGGTGCTTGTATATCATATGCTATGGAGCTTTTCCCTGCTAAAATCTCAAAAGCTGTTTTCATTGCAGCGGCTATGTTGACCAGTGGGCAGAGTACCCTGGATATGTTCTCTCAAAAGGTATGCGTTATCACTTCTATTGAATAATTTGTGGGCAATAGATTGTTTTTACACTCAGTTTGTTTTCTACAACTTGATTTCTCTCCATTTCTTTGTCCTTTGCTAAGTTGAACGTGTATATAAGCCTGGTATGCTTCACTCACTGTTATGCGGTATTGCAGACAGATTCGAATGATCTGATGCAACAGGCTCAACTATTTATTTATGCCAATGGGAACAACAATCCCCCAACTGCCATTGACCTGGACAAATCACTCCTGAGGGACTTACTATTTAACCAGAGTCCCGCTAAGGTAATTTATCTGTCTTTTTTTACACCAAATACAACAGGTCAAATGTTAATACCTTTTTCAACATTGCAATACTTGCTTTTTATGAGTTTAATACATATGCTATTCATCACACTTTGTCTTAAATACTTGCTTTTTATGAGTTGAATACATATGCTTTTCATCCCATTTTGTTTTAAATACTTGCCTCCATTGTTGATGATGCAGCCAGTGACAACATAGAAGAATTGCCAATTCGTCTTCATTACATTTATTGAAGTCGTGCCTGTATAAAGCTTTCATTTTTTCTAACTTTTTAATTTCTTCATGGCCCATACTGAATGTGCATTACCCAGAAACTCTCTGTTTGAAAAAGGGAGAAGAGATCCTTTATCAGCAAATTGAATTATATATTTTGGCTGAGTAGTATATTATGTAGTGAATGTGTAGCATCGTGGATTATCATGGTTTGACATATCCTATTTGTTAGCCTTGTGGTCATATAGTTGATGCTGAGCCAACTATGGAGGAATCTTATTAAGATTTTTTCCCCATCTCAATCCTACACACAACAAGGCAAAACATGGTATCATATACCATAACATCATTGCATGATTCATTCTCATTCACTACCACAAGTAAACAACATGCAATAAACACACAATCAGCAAAAAGGAAACTCAACTTCACTAAAGATGGAGAAGATGAAGACAATTCCGAGCCTCAACAAACATGCACTAAGAAAGTTTAATTTACTCTGCTCAAATTACTACTCTTTTCATTATACATAGTCAGCTTTAGTTAGTCGTTTATTTGTTTTTACTTACTTTAATTCTAATTTAGCTATTTCAAATTTCTTTATCTTTTAATAAAATATATAAGCACCAAGACTATTTCTTTATCTTTTATTAATTTCGCATTTTCTCTCTCTCTCTCTCTCTCACATTATTATATGAATACTTCAACCAATTAAGGAACACTAATTTATAAATACACATTGGGCATTGGTCTAATCGCGCAAAGCGCGTGTCATAACTAGTAATAATAATAAGGATAAAGATGGAAAAAAAGTTAGGAAGCTATGAGCTTATTTTGGAACGCTACCTGGTAGCGTTCCAAAATAAGCTCTTATTTTAAGCTAGGAGCTTATTTTTGGAACATTACCAAACAGAGCTTATAGCTTATTAGGAGCTTAAAATAAGCTATAGGCTCTTAAATAAGCTCTACCAAACAGAGCTTAAATCAAGCAAATTTTGATTCCCCAAACCAAATAGGAAAATAGGCATTTTATCCCTTAATTATACTACAATAATTAACTTAAGCCCTTAATTATATATGTGATCTCATTATTTAGGAAAATAGGCATTTTATCCCTTAATTATACTACAATAATTAACTTAAGCCCTTAATTATATATGTGATCTCATTATTTAGTCCTTAAACTATTTGTTTGGTGATTATTTTAGTCTCTTAACTCAGATAATGATTAAAAATAACAATGATAAAAGAGTAAATATGTAAATTAATCAGTTTCCTCCCAAAGTACACATCAAATAATTGAAAAACATATTTTAAGTAAAAGTATTCAATTAATACATCCAATGACCCTCCGAGTATTAGTCATATACCAGCTGTGGTCATCCGACTTTAAACGACTACGAGACGTCCTCAATCTTTTAAAAAATAACCACCCATGATCCTCCGTTAAATTTTATGTCAAAATGGTGTTAAGTTGGAGGACAAATTTGTCTTTTAACTTTCTCCCGGGAAAAGAACATATTTTGCCCGTACATTACTACAATCCACAAACCACATTTTTTTTTTTTATCTCTACTCCATAATTAATTGTTATTGTAACTTCTACTCCTTGTTGAATTCCAATCTCATCTGCTTCAATCTTGTCTTCCTTAAAAATCTCACCTCTTCAATTAATTCAACAATCTCTACTGCTCCAATTCAAAATCTCTGCTGCACAAAATTCATTTGCTTAATTTAATTTTAGAAACCTCAGCTGCTTCCTTTTTCAAAATCTCTACTTCTTTCAATATAATTTCTTCAAATCTATACTGCTTCTTTTTAATTCCACGAAATCCCTACTGCTTCAATTTAATTCCACGAAATCTATACTGCTTCAATTTATTTTCCTTCAAAAATTATACTGCTTCAATTTATTTTAATTCAGCGAAATCTCTCTCTCTCTCTCAGCTTACGCTTTCTCTTTTTCTTCCTACGAAACTATGTGATTTTCTCAAATATACGTCAAATTTTAGCTCGCTTTTGTGAGTGTCCGCTGGGGGTTTTCTTAGTGCATCAATTTTCATATTTTTTTTTCTTTTCGAAGGTGAAACTTGAAGAGCATGGAGGGGTCCATCTCTGCGGCGGAGGATCTCGGGGCTCCGCTGGAGTCGTGGGAGACGCCGCCTGATGCTTTCTTCTTCCAACGACTCTAATGCTCAATGTGACCTCACCGATTCTTCTTCGGCTTCAGCTCCGAATTCGGAGTTTGCTTTGAGTAGCTTAGCCCAGGGACGGAGCCAAGATTATATGATGGGGGCCAATCGTGATTTAAGAGTGAACAATTTAATACATTAGTATTCATTTAATATATATACCAAAATAGATCATTACATTACAAATGTACTAAAATTTAGCACATCTCTTCTTTTAGAATACAAATAAACAAGAAGAATATGAAAAACTAATATATTATGTCTTGTGTAAACTTCAATACAAATACTTGTATATATAGTGTCAACAAGATGATGAAAAATGAATACAAATGAGAAAACAAAGAGACACATGGGAAATCCAAGGAACATATGGAAAACCCAAGAGACACATGATTATTAATATAGATGATTAATATCATCAAATATCTCAACACCCCCCCCCCCCCCCCCCTCCCACCCCTCTCAAGTTGGAGCATGCGGATCTGAAATGCCCAACTTGCGAAGAAGAAATTCAAATTGCCTTTGCCCAAGAGACTTTGTGAAGATATTAGCTAATTGCGAATTGATAGGAATGCAGGAAGGGAATATCAAACCATCTTTAATTGCATCGCGAACAAAATGACAATCCACTTCAATGTGTTTTGTGCGTTCATGAAAGACTGGATTCTTTGCAATATGAAGAGCCGATTGACTTGTCAAAAAATAACTTTAAGGTTTTGGGATGATGAACCCCCAGACTTAACAACAAACACTTTAACCATTTGAGTTCACAAGTAACGGCTACTATAGATCTGTATTCTGCTTCTGCGGAAGAACGAGAAACAGTAGTTTGTTTCTTTGTTTTCCACGAGATTGGAGAATGGCTAAGAAAAACCAACCAACCCGTAAGCGATCGCCGAGTAGTAGGACATGAGGCCCAATCCGAATCACACCATCCCTGTAGCGTTAGATCAGTGTCTGCACGTAGGAGAATCCCTTGACCTGGTGTACCTTTCAAATAACGGACAACTCTCAAAGCTTCCTCACAGTGCTCGTCATGTGGTTCTTGCATTAATTGAGACAACACATGAACAGAGTATGCGAGATCCGGTCGAGTTACGGCCAAGTAGATAAGTCTTCCAACTAGGCGTCGATAAGCTGCAAGATTAGAGAAAATTGGGCTACTAGCTAGGCCGAGTTTGTGGTTTTTATCAATAGGAACACTAACCGGCTTGGCCCCCAACGTCAATAATATCAAGGGTATATTTCCTTTGACACAAAAATAGTCTGCTAGAAGCGCTACGAGCAACCTCAATACCAAGAAAGTAATTTAGTGTGCCGAGATCTTTCATATGAAAACAATCACTAAGATAAGCCTTAAATGTCTTTAGAGCAGCAGAATCATTCTCAGAAATGATCAAATCATTGACATAAACAGGTACATTTATCTGAATTCCACCCCGAGTAAAGGTGAATAAGGAGTATTCAGAATAGGATTGTAAGAAACCATACCCTTTCAAGGCCGTAACAAGTTTTTGCAAATCAGCACCTCAGTGCCTGCTTTAGTCCATACAAGGACTTGCGCAATTGACACACTAATTTAGGATCGGATGCCTCAAAGCCTGGGGAAGCTTCATATACACATCTTCATCGAGATTACCGTGCGGAAAAACATTGTGCACATCCATCTGATGTAGTTCCCAATTTTTAGATGCTGCAATGGCAAGAAGTGCACGAACAGTAGTCATTTTGGTAACAGGAGCAAAAGTTTCAGTGTAATCGATGCCTTCTTCCTAATGATTACCAAGAGCCACTAATCTTGATTTGAGTCTTTCAATCGACCCATTTGAGTTATATTTGATTCGATACACCCAATGACTCCCAAGAGCCTTTTTCCCAGGTGGGAGATGTTCAAGAATACAAGTTTGATTGTCTTCGAGGGCCCGAATTCATTTGTCATAGATTCTTTCCAGCCGCTATATGACATCGCCTCCTTAAAAGATTTTTGTTCTTTTTCAGAAAGAATTGCTGCGAGAAAAGTTCTGTATGGCAGAGAAAAATTGTCACAATTTATATAATGTGCTAAAGGATAGGGAGTACCTGAGGGTGACTGTGGAGATGGTGTGACGGAGGATGGACTTTTAGCAACAGTAGAATTAATAACATAGTCGCGCAACCACACTGAAGGAACTTTATTTCTCATACCCCGACCTATCTCAACATTCGGATCCTGGTTATTTGGAACAAGAATACTAATGTGTTGTTTAGGTTGTGAGATGAATTCGGGTATGGAGTTTGACTCTGGTTGAGAGGTTGGCTCGGGTGTGGAGCTTGGCTCAAGTTGAGGGTTTGGCTCGTTTGTGGAGCTAGGCTCGATTTCTTCAACAATTGCAGAAAAATCTTCGTGGAGCACCAGTAACGTGACGAGAAGCCTCCGTGTCAATTATCCACAACCGTGGATCAAATTTACCATTCAATTGATCATCAAAAATCTTTGTACCACTAATCAGCCCTGTTAATGCCTTCAGCGGCTCGTCGTTAGCCATTGATGAGTTTATGCGCAGGTATAAACCTTAGCGACTGATACCGT